GGGGTCTTTCAAAAAGAGAAACTCCAAAATAAATATTTTGATTCACCAAAGAGATGACTTCTTTAATGTTCTTTTTTGAAAGTCGTTTTCCCTTTTTTCCATGACATTATTGCATCTGTCCTGCATTTGTCGACATTTTTTATTTATAAGAGAAAAAAAGTTTTTTTTTGTTGTTGACAGTTTCTGCAATAACTCAGCTCAAAAACATGCATCAGTCATGGGCCAGGGGTCGTCATTTTGGTCTAACGCCGAGATAAGGGATAAACGGCCACGCCCACGTCATGAATACCGCCTGAACGAAGGCCTGCTAACGTGGGGTACCCAAGCCAGGCCTAAAACTGGCCTTCAGAGGCCCAACGTGCGACAGTTGACCGTGGAAAGTCAAAGGTCAACAGCAGGTCGGAAATTCAGGCTCACGAGTCAAAGTCAACGTGGACCCAGTCCAGGCCGACGATCAAGCACACACACTTGGCTGTTTGCAGGTATTCGTCAAGGATCAAGTCCAAGTGGGAGTCTGTAACTGCATGGATCCAGGCCATTGGCTGCGAGACAACGCGAGACTGCTACTGCTTTATGTTGGCGCCTTCTTCTGTCTGCGCCAGCTGGGTTCCTGTCTATGCTGACGTGGCTCTCGTCACATTGTCTACTAGATTTATGGGATACTGGTGAGGAGGTGGAGGATCAGGGATGTGAGATTGGTTAAATGAGAGGAAAGCTTACCAGTCTGCGTTCGTGTTGACATTGCGCATTGATGATCGAATTAAGAAGTTGTCTGCACTGAGTAGGCGTTATGATGAGATCTGTTCATTGTCAGTGTATGTCAGAGAAGACTGTTTGCTGACATGGCAAGTGGGAGATGCCCGAAGAGGAAGTGAGCCTGAGAGGGAGATATATCCGCTATGTTGATGGACACTTTCTCTTCCACCCTCTAAGTCTAATCTCCCTCCCATCAGCCTCTTCTATGGTGACTTGACATTGGACTACTTGGTCACTTGTACGATTTCGGAGACATTGTAACTGCGCTGCGACATTTTGTACTTCGTCTTTCTCGAGCTTTCCATCTGACTGGGTTCATTGCAATTTGGTATCAGTGCGATATCCTCCATCCGTCGTTGTCTGCTGATGAGCGCTGTATTGCGCAGTGGTATTGCACCCATGCGCTCGCTCGTGCGATCCGCGCACTTAGGTATATCACGTTTGTAAATGTGCGAGCACCTGGTTAAGTATCGTGCGATTATTCGCGCACCTGTTTGGTTACGGGCGACCGATTGACATACGCGCCTGTTGATCCGCTCGTTGGATCGGAGTCGCGCATGCACATGTATCTGATGATGATGATGATGATGGTAAGATGATGATGTGGACCTGATATGCGTTGGCGAGATACCGCTGACGTGGCGCTGGCCAACCGACAAAATTGGGAAAGAGGGATAGCTGCTTACCTGGCATCGAAGAATCGCCGCTTACGTGGCATGACGATCAGGTGTCGATGTGGCACCTAAGAAGAAGCAGCAGGTTACCAGGTCTGACGTGGCACTTACGGGTGTTGCGACTTCCCTGCTGACATGGCATCTCCAACGAAGCAGCAGCACACGAGGTTGACGCGGCATCTTGAAGCTGACATTCAAGTGATCATATGCGAATTGGCAGTCTCTTGCTACTTACGTGGCTACGAAGTATCTCCATTCATGACGGCCTATTGGCCACTGATGCTGAGCTGGCACCTCTCTTGATGATGTGTCACCTTGGCTTGGCTGGAGTTGGCCACATGGCAGATCTGATATGCGCTGCCATCTGCTGAAGATTGGTGGGAACAAATACTTGCACTTGTGTGTCTGACGGGCGGTACAACACGATTATGTTGTAGTGTCACGCGTCAGCACTTGTGCCTGGTCATCCAGACATCTGAATGTGGACAACGAGAAGAAGATCAGCTAACACGTTGTTGATTGCTGTGTGCTGATTTGTTGATGATACTTACCTGTCGTGGGGTGTCCTGTGGATGTGTGCAAACTCACCATTGTGCTGTTGTCTTGATCACACTGGTCGTGGCTGCGGAACCTGTGCACATACTACAGGAAAAACATCATCAGCAAAGTAATCAGCAGAAATAGACATAGACGTTAGAAAATTTTGTTTCCATTTGTAATTTGTTTTATTCTTATTTCTTGCCGTGTAGATTGAAAAGTGTCGTCGTGGAATTTATAACTGTCGTTTAAAGTTTATTGCGCAGCAGACACACTGGGAAAAATGACTTACCTCTGGAACTATTTGCGTCCGTCCATCTTGACAAGATTCATCTCTTTCTTCTTTCCCATCTTGATCACCTTCTTCGCTGATGAAGGTGGGGTGATCAGAACCCGTGGCCAAGTAGAAGAAAGACGGCAACAGATACTAGGCCATCTTCACCAACTGCTTACTGAACTGCACGACGCTGGGCCAGATGCTGAGCAGCATGTTCACAGCCAGTTCGATCTGCGTGCTGCAGAGGACGAACTTTCAAGGGCTGAAACTGTCGTTCAAATGCTAGAAACCAGCAGGAGAGTGCAACAGATAATTGATTTGGGACGAATGGCCCTCGATCAATTTGTCGCTGAGCAGTTGACGAAGATAGCTGGTACAAAGGCCAAAGAAGAAGAGAAAGGAGAAGCAAGTGAGAGGAAAGAAGAACCCGAATTAACAGAGGAGAGTGGACGACACAATCAAATAGTTGCGAAGTGCGTTAGACGCTGACTGAAAAAGAAAAAGAATACCAGAGGCAGAAAAGAGAACAGGAACAACAGACAAGAAAGGTAGAAGAAATCAAGCAGAAATTTCACATTGCGGAGTCAGAAACTGATCTGGCGTCCGTCTTGCAGAACATGATGGCCTACCTAGCACTCCTAGAACTTAAAATTGACAATGTCACCGCCGAGTTACAGACGGTGGCAAGACTTGTAAAGGGGAAGAACAAGGTTGTGCATGAGGAGGTAGTCGGGGAGAAAGAAGAAAAGGAGCCTCATGAGAAGTTGATGAAAGACGCCATGAAAACCCGTGCTAGAAAGAACCCGAACCCACCAAGAAAGAACCCCCAAAGAAGAAAGAAGGGGAAAGACCGAAAAGGAAAAAAAAAGTGAAAATGGAACTTCTATTTACTTACAATGGTAAGAAAGGTGAGCATTTGCTTTTATGGACTGCTGAAATACAGACTTACTGTTGGACCACACCAGTGGCAGAGGACAACCGAGTGGCATTCTCCACATCTTGTCTTGGGGAAACTGCCAAAGAATGGGTGCTATCATAAGCTAACGCTGCTGGATTTGAGGACATTGGGGACTGGGCTCGCACCATGACATTGCGGGACTTTCTCCAGAAAATAAACGAGAGATTCCTCGACAAAATGACAGCCGACAAGGCATTCGATGAGCTCATCACCATTAGTCAGAAACGTTGGTCCAATATCGAATCTTTGTCCCATGAATTGTTTATTGCAGGTACCTAGATTGAACTTACAGGGTAACCAGGTTCTGTACATCTACTCACACGCATTGTCGGAGCCCATACGAGGACAACTCATGGCATAGGCCAAGTCTGGTAAGTATTACTATAGGCAATTCAGGGACCTTGCCCTTCAACGAGAGCAAATGACCACATAGGTTAAGGGAACTTACGGTAACGTTGTGAGGATTGGACCGACCGGTGGGTACGGGAATGGGAGAAGAGTCCTGTGGCGGCAAAAGCGACATGACCATACTCCCATTGTCTTCGACGACGAGACTGTCGAGAGATTGCCCCTCGAAGAGGCAGGGGGCGAAGTAAGTGGTGGCAGTGAGTCTGGAAAGGGTGACGCCCCCGCCATGGTGGCCAACAAGGGTGGCACTAATCGAAATGGTGGATTTAGGAAGAGGAGGTCACACTCCTTCCCTGAACATCCTGACATTGCTTCTGGCCGGCCTTGGGAGAAGATGGGCCTAACCCAAACGAAATGGCAGGAGCGGATGGATAACAGGCAGTTCTTGAAGTGCGACACTGCGGGACACATCATTGCATGGTGTCCTCTCATCCGCAACCCAAAAGGGAGCAGCCAGTAGGAGTAGCATCTGCTCCTATTGAGTTGGTGGGTTCGGACAAAGGTAAGGTGTTGATAACCCCTTTCAACCCCCCAACTCGCAAGGCGGAGGATGACTCCTCTTCGGCCCATCGCCCAGATCACCATGAAAAAGGTTTTATGTTTTGTCTCACTGGGCGATTCCCTTGATGAACTTGGTTGTGAACTCATTGCGTTACAAAGTTCATGGGCTAAGAAAGTTAAGTCTAAGGGTGAATTGATGATCGCTGACGTGGAGATTGCACGTACACGAGTAGGTGCATTGTTAGATTATGGGTCTACGTGGTCCTATATCTCAGAAAAGGCAATTCGTAAGTTGCATCTGGGAATGTGAGTGCAGGACCTTCCCAGACCTATCACGTTTATGCTTGTTGACAAGAGCACGATAATTGTCTCCTAGTTTGTTGATCATGTAACATGTCATTTCATAACTAAGGGAGGGAAAAGGATATTGCATGAAGTAACCTTCCTCGTAGAAAAAAGTATGCCTGTTGATATGATTCTGGAAATGGATTGGCATGAGGAGGTCGACCCATAAGTCAAGTTCAAAGACAAGATTGTCAAAATGAAGGATGAAAAATCCAAAATGGAGTTAATTAAAATGTTTTACAAGTATGGTTTTGTTTCATCACCATCTTTCTGTTGTATGAGTCTACCTGCTTTCCGAAGTATGGTTATGAAAAACAAGTTGGCACAGGATGTAATGATGATACTCGTCAAGCGAGTAGGAGAATGTTCTT